CAAAGACCAGGGAGAGGCTGATCCCAAAGGGAGGAAGCTGGGCTGGCCTGCTGGGGGTGGGGAATGGAGGGGGTGGTAACTTCCCAGCAGCTCCTGTGCGGCTGGGGTACCCGAGAAGTTCAGGGGTAGGACTGGAGTTGAAGGGCCTGGGGTTCATTGTCCCCGTGCTCCTGCCGGGAACTACCTGCCTCAGTGCCCCCAGCCAGCTCTTGAGAGGTAGACTGGGAGGAGCTCTGAAGGGAAGGGCTGAAATGAATGTGCTGCCATGGAACCCAGAGTTGGGCTGTTGGACAGGTTGTGCTGCTGCAGGGAGGTGGGTGCTGGCTCCATTGTGAGACTGTGTTAGGATGTGTTTGTGTTTGGTGTGTGTTTAAGTGTGTTGGACCTTACTTTATGTTTTGAGTTTGGTTTGGGAAAGGAAGAGAAATCATGTAACTGCTGTAAATAGTATGTGTATTGTGTTGGGTGTTAGATACATGTGTAGTTGAAGTGTGGACATTTGTATTGCTGCATGTTTTATGTTGATGTGTGTTAGGCATTGATGGATTTTGAATGTTCATATGTGTTGGAGGCGTGTGCATGGTGGGCTGCGGAAATGTGTATTACAGAGGACAGGAGGATATATTGTGGTATCGGTATGTCTGTACTGGAGTATGTATGTTTTAGAAGATATATGTGTTGGGTTGTGGGAATATGGTGTTAATATGATGGGAGTTCTGGTATTAGGGGGTTTCTATGCATTGTAAGGGTGCTGCAAGTTAAGGTAAATAATATGTTTCTTAATCATTTCATAAATATTTATTGAGTATACAATACATGCTTGGTACTCTGCTAGATGCTGAGGACATAATGGTGAGCAAAAGCAGGCACAGTTCTTAGTCTCTTGGAACTTTAGTTGGGGGGCAGAGTGAAAGGAGTGGGGACTAGGGAGTGCATTCTGGGCCTGGATGAATGTGTTGGGGGTAACTGTGAGGGTGCATCTTTGGGGGCAAGGTATTTGAGTGTGTTTGTAGATGGGTGTGCTGGGAGAGTACATGTGCTGGAGGACTGGGTAGATTGAAGGTGTGGGTATGGACATGGTTTTGGGATGTGGGGAGGTTCGGGTGTATGACTATGTAGTGAGAGTGTGGTGCAAATGTGGGAGACTGTGTACGGGATGTGATAGAAGTGTGTTTGAGGGTAAGTAGGGTGTTTGAAGTGAGGGTGCATGTGGGGGTGTTTGCAAATGAGTGAACATATGGAATGGAAGGTATGTGAGGGGCTGGAGGGTTAGGAGTCTATTTGGTATGCGTTGGGGGGCTGCTGGTGAACAGCAGTGTTTGATGGCTGCCGGAGCTGTGCAGAGCATCTCCTGTGACCTGAGGATGTGCCAGTCATGTCCTGATACCACTTGGGGTGGGCTCTCTGCCCCTTGTACTCCATCTTTTCCCCCCACATGGCAACATGGCTCCTGAACTGGGCCTGGACACAGGGTGACCTGGACAAAAGGTGGGGCCATGGCTCCAAGGCTCCTACCCTACTTTTCCTCTTCCTGAACTGGAGGGTGTCTAAAGAATGCAGGTGGGACATGGGAGGGGGCTATTGGACTGTGTTCCATGTTCAGCTGCCATTTCTTCTTCCTGCTGCCCTGTTAATAAATACAGGGGGCCTCAACTCTCTCTGTGAATCGAAGCGAAGTCACTGCTGGCTACCTCGAGCCTGCAGGAGATCTGGCACTGATATATGGGAGAGGGCAAGGTGTTTGCTCAGGGAGTGACTTGGAACCCAAGCTTTCTGCATTATAATCCCCCCCGCCCCACCTCTCTCATATACACCTGTATATTCATGTACACATACGTGTACATAGCATCCCTTGGCTGCTCCTCTCCTGGCCTACTGAACTCTGGGGTGGTCTGGGTCCCCCAGAGATGGCCAGGTAGCTGGTTTTGGCAGCCTCTACCTGTGATGCGTGAAGCTGGGGCCTGGGGTGGCAGGTGAGTGGGAGGGATGGTCCTTGGAACTGGCTGGGGCTGGGCTTACCAGCTCCACCTCCTGCAGGCTCTGAAGCGGAAGCCAGACTTGTTCCTGTGTGAACGGTTGGACGTCAAAGCTGTATTCCAGTGTGGTAAGTGGGGCCAGGTGGACAGGTGGGCCTGGGGCCCCCTCGGGAGGATCTTTAGGCCCCATCTGATCTGCCTCTGCCTCTCCCACAGCTGTGCTGGCCCTCAAGTTCCCTGAGGCACCTACTGTCAAGGCCTCCTGTGGCTTCTTTGTGAGTCCCATGTTGAACCCTGAACCCCCACCACCCCTAAACCCAGCCCTGTCCTGCCTAGGACTCCAGAGACTGGGGTGTGGTATGCAGGTCTTGTCTCTAGGGTGAGGGGGGAAGGAGCCGGGGCTGAAAGGCCTCTCCATCCTCTGCAGACAGAGCTACTGCCTCGATGTGGAGAAGTAGAACCGGTGGGAAAGGTAGTACAGGAGGACGGCCGTATGCTGCTCATAGCAGTACTGGAGGTGAGATGGAGCAGGTCGGGGCTTGGTGGGAGTGTGGTGGCCCTCACTGCTGAGGTAACTGCCCTGTTGGGAATCTTGAGCTTTTGGTTTCCTAAACTCTCTGATTCTGTTGCTTCCTCATTTAAATGGTTGTAAGTTGTCAGGGTTTCTGTGAGGATCAGCTGGCTCTCAAAAAGCAGTTCTCACCTGTCATGTGCAGTTCGGCTAAGGAACTGTCTGTGGGGGTGGGGCATGGCTTGGTGTGCTTGCTGTGGAGGAGCAAGGCCCTTGTGTGCTGAGAACCCATCTTCCTCAGGCCATTGGGGGCCAGGCCTCCCGCAGCCTCATGGATTGCTTTGCCGACATCCTGTTTGCTCTGAACAAACACTGCTTCAGCCTCCTGAGCATGTGGATCAAGGAGGCACTGCAGCCACCTGGTTTTCCCTCTGCCCGCCTCAGCCCTGAACAGAAGGACACCTTCAGCCAGCAGATCCTTCGGTGAGCAGAGCTGGTGGGGCCTGGGCTCAGGTCTGGAGGAGGAGGGGGAGGTAGTGTGGATGGTGCTAACCTGCTCTCCCTTATCTCCTTCAGTGAGCGAGTGAACAAGAGGCGGGTGAAGGAGATGGTGAAGGAGTTCACACTGCTGTGCAGGGGGCTACATGGCACAGATTACACAGCTGACTACTGAGGGGCGCTTCCGTCCCACCCATACCTCCTCCTCACCCCTCCCTATCCCCAAAGAGTAAACCTGGACCCTCACTGCACTGTTGTCTCTGCTTCCTTTCTGCTGCCACCACCACCTAACTGGGTGACCCCAGAAGGCCTGGAGGAAGGATAGAAGGGTGCTTGGACCCAAGCCTTGGTAGGGAATGGCGGAGCCAACTTCTGGCTTGTTAGGTGGAAGGGGTACTGCTGGAGCAAGCTGCTCCTAGGCTAGAGCCATTCAGAATACTGCCATTGCCCTTGGGGTGGAGTGGGGATTGCAGTAGTATTGCTACTCCCTTATTAAATTAGTCCCAATGTTCATGAATGCATTTAATCAATAATGCTGAGTACTAGGCCCCTAATTCTGCCTTTCCTTGTTCTGTCTAAACAAAGGCTGATCTAGTCCATAGTTACCATGTTAAACTAGGAAAATGGGACCAATGAAGGAAGGCTACTTGGAGGAAATTTTATTTCTAATGGAAATAGAAGGCTTCCAAGGTAGAGGCCTTGAGGCCTTGAGCTGGAGGTGAGATGGAGCTGGGTCCATTTGGGAGGAAGGAATTGGAGAGTGGCTTTGAGTTCCAGGATGGGTTTCTGGTGTGGGGTTATGGAGGCACCCAAACTTGCACATAGTCGAGGAGAGGTATGGAAAGTGGGGCTGAGCATGTGTGGGAGGAGGCATTCCAGACCCCAGAGGAAGAGGAATTTGTTGTCTGTGTATCCATAACTCCCCACCTCTGGTACCTGACCGGTATGGGTGGTCAGAGCTCCGTCAGGACCAGGGACAGCTCCTGCGCTGCTGTTGCTCTCCTCCCTTGCAGGTTTACCTCCCTTTCTGTCTCCTCAGCCACAGTTCTACCTGGGCTGCCTCTCAGGCACTCCAGCCTTCTCAGTAAGATCTGATGAGCAGATCTGAGTTCTTCAACTCCTGTTCATGAGCCTGAGTCTCCTTAGAGGTGATAGAACTGGTTACTCCCATATTTGTCTCCTTTCCCTGTTTTTTCCCAACCTTTCCGCAAATTCTTTGTCCTCCTTTCTTTATTCTTGCTCAGTTTCTTCCCATGCCAGCCTCTCATGTGCCATACCCTGTGGCCACTCTGTCCCCCCTTCCAATACCCCATTTTCACCTTACTCTTGATTTCTCACTTAGTCTTCTTCTAGTACATGCTATCCAGATGTCTTTTCCTCCTCTTCCCCACCCCACCCCCATTACCAGTGAAGCACATATAAGCTAGGAGAATGAAGGGTTAAAAGCCCAACTTCTGAAATCAAACCTGGTTTTGATACTGATTGTTCTACTGACTTGCTGTGTCTTATTAGGTAGTTAGCCTCTTTTAATCTTAGTTTCCTGTAAAATGGGACAATTCTTACTCTGAAGACTGTAAACTCTAAGAATGCATTGCCTGGTGAACAGTAAGTGCTTAATGTTTGCCTGATTGACAAGCTGCTGTGAGGATAATAGCAATGCTTTCAGTACATGTGATATGTAAAAGAATACTTTTTAAGGTTTTATACCTAAATTGTTTCGACCCAGCAATCCTATTAGTACTATTGCTACAGCCCCCATTCTGCAGATGAGGAAACAGCCATGGAAACATTGGAGCTGCTCAAATTGAGATAGCTATTTTCAGGGAGTGGGTGTTTCTGAGATTAGGCCGTGGGCTGAACCTGAAAACGCCAAGCGCCCGTAGAGGAGAGACAGAGGAACTACAACACCCACAAGGCTCAGCGCCTCACTTCCGACCGGCCTCAGGCTCTGAGGCCGATCTTTGGGTCTCCGTGGGCGGTTTGGCGGCGAGGATTGGAGGGTGGGAGCCGCGCGGGTTCAGGATTGGTAAAATTGCTATCAGCCCCGCCTCAAAAGCCGGAAGTAATCTCTTCCGTTGGCCCGTGTGTACTGGGGAAACGCGAGTTTACTCCGAGGGCTGCTTCGCCGGCCACGGACTGACAGACTCTTCAGCCCACCGTCCTGGCCGAGTGACCAACTCGTTGAGGGCCACTTTTGAGGACTCTGGTCCTGAAGCTGGCCGAGGGAGGTCCCCGCCACGCAAGCAGTGCCTCATGGAGTCTACATTCAGCAGCCCCGCAGAGGCGGCGCTGCAGCGGGAAACGGACGCTGCGGGGCTGCCCACTCCTCTCGCGGACTTGGACCGAGTGTACGAGCTGGAGCGAGTCGTCGGATTTGTCCGCGATCTGGGGTGTCAACGGGTGAGGGCAGGTTAGGGAGTGGTGGCTTGCCTCTCTGGAGATGAGTCGTCCAGAGGATCGGGTCTTGAGGTAATTTTGTGAGGAAGGGGTGGGAGGTGCCCCTCTGGGGCGAAGGGCTTTGAAGGTTGGGTAAGGGCTCTGGGAAGGTTTTCCTTGAAGAGGCCCTAGGTGAAGGAGAGGCCGTTCCTGGAACGACTCCATGGTTTTTGCTTACAGGTGGCCTTGCAGTTCCCTGACCAGTTATTGGGAGATGCTGCAGTCGTGGCTGCACGACTGGAGGAGACCACGGGATCGAAGATGTTCATTCTGGGGGACACGGCCTATGGCAGGTGTGAACTTGAGCTTAAAGATGGAGAATAGGGTAGGCCTAGGGCTCCAGGGTTTCTGGTGTTTCCCCTGTTACACTGGCTGCCCGCAATGGCTGTGTTTCTCCTTGATGATGATGACTGCTCTCCTGATACTAGCTCCTCTTCTTTTTATAATATCATGTTTTTCATTGACCACATTTCTTACTCATGACAGCAACTCTTTTCCTGC